CTCATGCCAGAACACAAAGGGTGGGCGGGAGCAGTTGTTTAAGAATGATACTCATGGTTAATCCAAATTAAATTCTGACTTTCCAAGTGTCTCATAATGACTTTTAAAATCTAATTTATAAGAAACAGGTCATAAGTTTGACTGACTGTCATGATTCTGTTTTTTTTTTTTTTGTAGTCTTATCTCCAGGATTTTGTTTGTTCAGTTTTCTATTTGAATTCTTCCCTGTTTCATGTTCAGTCATGTTTAAGCTGTTTTCTGTTTTATTTTGTAGATTCACTCCTTATGTGTCATATGTGCTTCTATTTCCTGTTTTCCTGCTTTAGTCTGATTAGTTTCACTCACCTGTTCTTTCTCCTCGAATTAGTACTTTTGCCTCATTTACCCAGCGACACACCTGCCCTGCGTTAGCCTCAGACTTTTTCCAAATCAGCTCCCTGCCTGTCCTTCTGCCTCATCACTTTATTTATTATGGATCCTTGATTTGGTTGTGTGATGTTCACTTGCTGTTTATAATTTTTTTGAGCTCCTGTTGTCTCCTGTGTTTGGGTCCACCTTCCCCACAACACAGAGCAGACAGTCTCGCAATTTTGACTTAAAATCATAAATGATGGGTTTTCAGAATTAAAGGAGAACAGTGATGATGTATAGCTGAAGTTGGATTCACAAAATACAGATTGCAGATCTGCAGAAGCAGAGATATCCTGACTTTCAGTCCTCAGTAGGGATCAAGCTCTAAAAACACAGACCCATTGGCCATGTTGTAAGAGCCTTTCCTTGGACCCTCCTATAACACCCACATCTTTCAAACTCCCCACCTCCAGTTTGTAATGCAGACCTTCTGTTCTCTTATTTTCTCAGAAATGACAAAGCTTCAGCTTGGACAGCTGTTTCACAGGCTGACTAACCATCACCAGTAAGTTGATGTTTAAAATTAGTGGAATTGACCTTTAATATTCCAAGTTAAAATGAGCAAGCAGCAACCACCAGGCAGCCAGGCGGACACAACCCTAACCAAACCTGCTAATATAAGTCTGTGTGGAGATTTTGAAGTGTGAGTGCGATCACCTAAGTAAAAAGGAGATGCAATCAGTACACGCACTAGATGTGTTCACCCCAACATAACCGCTCAGCTGGATGGCACCTGTTGCAGCAGTATGATACCCCACAGGTGAGGGTCAGTTTGAAATGCTGCCGGTAATGATAAAGAGCTGGAAATTCCCCATAGGGTCGGAGGGAGGGGTGGTGGATGGGTCCAACAAACCCTGGACTTTTACCTGGGAGCCCTCTGTTCGCTTCCCGTATGAATATAGAGTCAAACCATGATGTTTTTTTTCCTAAATCTAACCACCTGATTTTGTTGCCTAACCTTAACATGTGCTTTGGTTCATGTTTGGTTGTTGACCACTGGGGTACCCTCCTCTGTATAATATCCTACTTCCTGCAGGTGAAGGCTTCTCTGCAACATGATTGGAAAAAAGGTGAAAAGACAGAGGGGCAAATCATCAAAGACACACACAGACACAGCCACACACTCTTTACCACAGATGGTGTATATTGTCACTATGAACGGTAGAAAATTGAGTTAATGGCAGCGCGGAAATGTGATTGCCAGCACATGTGTATTTGCCGTCCTTCTTCATAATAGTAAAGCAGGATTTATACTCATGCGGCAGACCCTATGCTGTAGCCTACACACGTGGCCTACACCGCAGTTCCACACAATAAACATGGCTTGATTTCAAACACAAGTACACAAATCAGCTTCACTATAACTCGCAGCGTTCCCAGACAAAGCACTTGTCTTTATTTGGACATATTCAGGCCCAATCTGCATTTTTTTCACCATTTAAGTTCATTTTTAGTAACTCTTATACTTAAATTATTTCTGTTGTTACTCTAATAGGCACTGTTTTTTGCTTTTTGGTCATTAAACACTTTATATCTTGTATATTTTGAATATTTTGACTGACACTTAACACTCCATTGTTTTAAAACTAGGCCCAGTGTGTGACTGTGACCGAATCAGACCACTGGTTGTTCTGGTCGTTACTGGTTTGTGAACGTTAATTTGGGATAAATAAAGTTCTATTTAATTAAACGGAATTAATTTGTAACAGGGTGTGACTAATTTATTTACAAATGTTCATTTTGTGGGTGAAGTATTCCTTTTAATTCACAAAATGTTTCTATATCAAGTGTGGAGTCTCTGCTGGTAACTTACTTCTTTAAATCCCATGAAAACTGATTTCTCCCACTTGAAATACATAAATTGTGATTTATTTATTAATTTGTTTTTGACACATAAAGTAGTATTACACAAGAGGGTGTGCTTTAACGTTGTTTATGTCATGACAGTGTCGGTCAGGACCCAGGTGCTTGCACCAAGGTCTGTAGAGCCCATAACCATCAAGCAGTTCAGTTCAGTTCAGTTCGGTACGATTTTTTTCTGTTTCCACTGTGAAAAGTTGTGGATGGTACCAATGGAACCATTCCATACCGTCCCCATGTTTGGTCCCCCCTCTGTTGGGGTACCTAGCACACAGATCTGGTACTAAAAGGTGGAGCTGTGAACACTGCAGTCTGATTGGTCAGTAGAGGACGGTCACTCTACTCAGGGCTGAGTTGTGTCTGGTTTTGAGGCTCATGTAACCACTGTTCATACTGTGGAGAGTTTTATTAGGGTCATGGAGGCAGCAGGCCGAGCAAAGCACCCCAGATGTCCCTCTCCCCAGCGACACTTTCCAGCTCCTCCTGGGGGACCCCAAGGCGTTCTCAAGCCAGACAAGATATGTGGTCCCTCCAGTGTGTTCTGGGTCTGCCCCGGGGCCTCCTCCCAGTGGGACATGCCCAGAACACCTCCAATGTGAGGTGCCCAGGATCCTGATGAGATGCCCGAACCACCTCAGCTGACCCCTTTCGACAGGAAGGAACAGCAGCTCTACTCTGAGCTTTTTCCAGATGTCAGAGCTCCTCACCCTATCTCTAAGGCTGAGCCCAGCCACCCCACAGAGGAAACTCATTTTGATTGCTTGTTACTGCAATCTTATTCTTTCAGTCACTACCCAGAGCTCATGACCATAGGTGAGGCTTGGGACGTAGATGGACCAGTAAATCAAAAGCTTTGCCTTCTAGCTAGGCTCCCTCTGCACCTGGATGGTTTGGCACAGCACCCGCATCACTGCAGATGCTGTGCCAAACCACAGATCTATCTCAAGCTACATTCTACCCTTGCTTGTGGACAAAACCCCGCGATACTGGAACTCCCTCACTTGGGATAGTAACTCACTCCCAACCCAGAGGGGGCAATCCACCGGTTTCTGGCAGAGAACCATGGCCTCTGTTTGGGAGGTGTTGACTCTCATCCTGACCGCTTAACACTTGGCTGCAAATCGCCCCAGTGCATGCTGGAGGTCATGGTGTGATGAAGCCAACAGAACCACATCATCTGCAAACAGCAGAAACGCAGTTGTGAGATCACCAAACTGAGCCCCTTCCTCCCCTCGGCTGCACCATGAAATCCTGTCCATGAATATCATGAACACAATCGGAGACAAGGGACAGCCCTGACGGAGGCCAACACCCACTGAGAACATGTTTGACTTTGTCCCATGAATGCGGACACAGCTCTCACTTTGGTTATACAAGGACCAGATGGCTTGTAGCAGCGACCCGAGTACCCCTGTTAAGCGAGAGGGTACTTGCTCCAGCTCTAGTTGAGGGTGAGAGGCTGTCAGTTAATAGTTTGTCGGATGCAAGGAAATGAAGATCTGCTTACCTGAAACTTCAAGTACTGTACTTATATGAAATGTCTGTAGAGGAGCGCTTCGAAAGATGATTGGTGATTTGAAAGTTTTTAAGGAAGTCTTTTCCAGTTTGAAAATTGTTTGACTCCCTGACGAAGGCTTGTATGCCGAAATGTGTCGGAGCTTTTAAAGGTTTAAGATGACCAAGCCATAACAATAAAGACTTTTTAATTTTTCCAAAGAGAGTGCCTTGGAGTTTCCTGAGTTTTACTGTACTTATATGCTTCCACACCTGCTACTTTTTATTGAGGTTGTGGTAACTACAGTTTAAGTCATATAGCTCTGGGTATCCAGCAACCGCTGCCACCAGTTTCTTGTGGTTTACCAACTGTAAACTTGTTGTCGTGACCACCACAGAATGTCCGCCTCTCGGATCATCCAATTGGACAGTGGGGAAAAGGTGGAGATAATGTGGGCCATTTTTCCACTCTGAGTTGAAGTTTTTTCAACTTGAGGAGTTCAGAGCGCTCCGGCAAAAACGCCAGGTGCTTAGAGCGCAGAAACGTGAGGCACGTTGCAGTGCTAAAACCACGGGCAAAAAGCTTAATTCTCATTAAAAACAATTACAAAAAGCTGCCTCCAGCTGCTAAAATGCTTTCTGTGTTACCGGGACCTTAATTTGCCTACCTGTAACAGCTAGGTAACTGGTACTCTTGCCACTTAGTGCTTCATCAGCGAACTAGTTAGTTAGTAAACTGGTCCTTTGTCAGCTAGCCAGTGAACTGTTTCATTATCAGTCAGCTAATTAGTAAAAAACTGGTAGTTTGCATCATTAGTCCTTTTTCTTCATTAGCCAACAATACAGTATCCCTATAAGCATGTCCTATGTACAAAAAGGAATAAAAAATTGTGTAGCTCTCGAGTTCATTAATAAAGTGAATATTTAAAGCTTTTATCCAGTTGATTAAGTTTTCTGTATTTTATGTTGACGACTGTAAAAAAAAAAGCTCATCTGTAATTGGACCGAAACTCCAGATAGAGAAAAATTATATCATGTAATATTTTATATGTAAACTAATCTGTCCTGACTGAACTCTTTCATTAAGTCAAACTGTGTTTTAGGTCAAACAGGAAATGACCAAAAATGTTCCCTAAACCAACTCACCCCTCCACACTGATAAAACACACACACACACACACACACACACACACTCACACACTCACACACACACACTCACTCACTCCCTCCTCTTCAGTTATCTGTTTCTCCTCTGCTGTCGCTCTGACACACACACTGCACACACACACACACACACACACACAGAGGGAGGTAGATAACTCTGTGATTCCACTGCTGAATTTTTAACGCTGTTGTGGAACTTTTTTTTTCCAGGCGGGTTACTGTGGCACCAGGGTACTGTTACACCGACAGAGACAGAGAGACAGGGTCCAGTTCAGTTCTGTTGTTTACTGAGGCTGGACGGACACAGGACTGTTCATGGGGTGCACGGTAAGAGACACGTATCTGTCTACTGCATGTTATTTTCTGCTCCAGCTTTTATTATTTTGAGTATTTTATCTGTCCCTTTATAAAAAAGCATGTGTGAAATTTATGTTTTCATACATTCATTATCATAGTCTCTCACTTGTGAAATGTGCTGAAACAATTTCACATTATATCAACACAGATATTTAACATGCATAAACATCAGTTTCACATATAATACCACATGTCCAATATATTTCACATTTGTTAGATTTACACACAGGCACATTTGACATTGACAAGCATTCAAATGATATGGGTAAACATGTTTTTCTGACATGTGACACGTAAAGTAAATGTGAGAACATAAGTTTGTTGCTCTTATATGCTTGTAAGGAGCTTCTCACTTTACTAAAAGCACCTGATGTAGTTCATTTACTATTTTCAACTAGCTGTCATTCATACTGTAGTCTGTGTGACATTTTACTGCACATGAGAGACCTCTGACCTTTGACCTCCTGACTGTCCAGTGTTTGTAGTTTTGTTGTGGATAAATAAGGATACATTATCAAAATATAATTACTGGTGATGCACAGGTATTTTGAAGGATTATTTAAAGCTGTACCCTGCAAAAGCTGGAGCCATGACCTGGTCTAACTCGCCCTCACCACCAAAGACTGTCGTACTTGGCACCTTTGAATACCTGAATTATTTATTGTAGGAGGTTTGTTTGTGTGCCTGTGTTCTCTTATGCATGCTAGTGGTCCTCATGGGTCCATTCGGTATCTCGTAACCAGGATTCAACCTGGAGCTCGAGCACCAAATCATATTCAGTGTAATCAGTTTTTTGTTTCTGAGTTTAACTGTATGTGCACAGTTATTTAAACTGATTCTGGGTCCAGTCTACATTGTTCATTGTAAGAGACCTACAACATTTTGTTTCAACATTTTCAACGCAACAGTTGTTTTATTTAAAAAATGATAAGAGAAAGAAATGTATGTGATAAAGTGTGCTCGCACAAAACACTACTGTGCTCTTCACAACACAACATAAGGCATGCTCAGTGTCATCGTGAATGTAAAGAGATGTCACAGGAAATGTGCTCTCAATGTAAATACCGGAAAAAATGTCCTCTGCTACTCCTCTGTCATCAGTCTCTCTTATCTCTCCAACAGTTTCCATCACAACTCTTAATAAGGAACGACTTGTACCTGCTCAGACGGGTTTATTCTGTCTTAACTCTATGTTACGACTGTCATGTGTGGTGTCCTGTTTTTACCCCCTCAACCCTTTTCAAACTCAGCTATAAGTTGGTGCAACAGCATGTCAGTAAGTCTCTCATGAGCTGGCTAGGAAACAAACAGTTAGAGTACAGTATCTATGTTCTTTGGACCAACAAAAACCCATGCCCCCTTCACACCACACACTACTATTAAGATACTAAAACAGAAATCAGATGAAGTTATATCTTAAAAGAGTGATGCCAGCTTCGTACAAAACACACGAGAGAAAGCTTAGTCACAACCACTCTCTCAATTGAAAATAAAATGATTTAGTCTTATTTTCAAAAACACACAATAATATCTGCTACAATGGGGGTTTTGGTAGATCATGGAAAGAAGCTCTGGGGTCCAGTTTACATCCAAAAACTGCACATTCTACCATGTTTGCTTTCAGGATTATCACTATGCTAATGCAAACTAGCGCTCTCTGATAAGTCTGCTCTGCACTGGAGGTTTCAGGTTTCTTTGCCAGTGTTGTGCCGAAGTCTGCTCCCATGTTAATACATGTTTCCCTGTTAGACAGCGATTGGTTATCATATGACGTACCTAATCTAGCTTTGCTCGGTGTACATCTCAATCTCGTCTTCATTTTACTTTCATTACAAAGTTGCCTAGAGTTGGTTCTTGTTCTCACGGCAGCATTTACAAGCGGACCAGATCAAATGCCTTGCATGAGAAAGCTGCTCTTGATTGGTCAGAATTTCCATGCGTGAAAAATCCAGGAAGTAAAGCAAACGTTGAAGAAGAGTACACTTGCAAGATAAATGTGACACTTTCTAATGTCACAATGGAGGGACAACTACGCAGGTTGATTTTAGCGCTGCTCATCGTGGACTATATTGCTGTCATTGTTCATTTTAGTCAAACCATACAGTTTGAAAACGAGGCGCGGCTCCAACTAGAAAACAATGTTTTGATGCATTGGATGTGCTGAATGTGCATATTAAGGCAGTACAGGAGGAGGTGCACATTAATAATCCTCCAGGACTGTAACATGCTCATGTTTAACCCAAACAATGTGTCATGTGACTGCAGTTGGTTCAGATCCAGGTCGGAACACGTTCTCACCACAAACGAACCGCACCAGAGTTCGTTTGTGTTTGAGACCACCTCTTCAAGAAGGTCTCAGTCCGGTTGTTTTGGTGTATACCTGTGTGAGATTGCTATGTTCACACCTGCCCAAACTAACCGCACTTAGCGGGCAAACAAACTTGAGTTCGATTGAATCAAACCAAACAGAGCAGGTGTGAAATCACCCTCAGAGGGAAGTGCACAGACATCGCCCCCTTCAGTAGAGGACTGTGAAAACACTTCTCTTGCAACAAACTTCGCGCAGTTACAAGTCAGTATAGTCAAGGGCTGACATTTTTAAGAGACATAAACAGAAGAAAAACATATTTTTAAATGGAGGGGGACTTTAATGAAGTCTCTTGAGATACAACATCTCTGTCATAAGAGACACTTGCCCAGAAGTTCAAGTACAGCGTAATGCTGTACTTGAACTTTTGGTGAGTAGACCATGTGACCCAACACAAAAGCCCCTTTTTCACTGCCTGTTCAAGGCAGGGTAATGATGTGCCGTTATTGCACCTTGTAGTTCTGTATGACAGATATGATCGCAGAATGGGGGGACAGAGTTGTCTCGCCTTTGAGCCAGCAGCGGAGATAGCAACAGTGCCAAATCGATGTTGGTGTAAAAGCAGTGGTGTAGTGGAGGGTATACTCAGGTATATGGGGTATACCCACTTCTTTTTGTATCCAGTGACAGTATACCCACCTATCAGCAAAACAGCCATTGTAATATATAGGAGAGTATGCCCACTTCCTCATCGGCAACCTACCTGTCTACCTAGTAGTACACCCACCTCATCAACTACCACTACACCACTGTGTTAAAGGGACAGCTGGCAGGACGGGACGGGTGTGATGTTTTGACGTGTTCTTTGTGCGACCCACTGTTGGGAGATTTATAAAACAGGTAGCAGCAGTTAACAGCTAACTCAGAGAAGAAGAACAGAAGCTGAAAATGTTTGCAGACTGGGGAGACAGTGAGGTCCAGGAGCTCTGTGCTGTCCAAACAAAGGACGAGATCAACAGCCATATAACAGGGATGGTAAATGATTGTTATTGCCATGTTTTGCCATTGTTATTGTTAAGAAAGTGCTGCTAGGTGTGAATATTTCACGTCACATCACGTCACGCCTCTTTTGTTTCGAGAATACCAGCATGCTATCTGAAATCACACTCTAGAACATGATGCCAGCGTTATTTGGTTCTGTACAAAGAAAGCAAAGGCAGCATAGTAAAGGGTTATATTGCAGCCCTATCGTGGATCTCTGTGTAAAAAGGGCTACAGTGTCACTTCCTGTATGTTGCACCTGTAACCACAACAAACAGTGATGTCACAGTGTGCTGACACACCCTGGAGTACACTTCTACATCACTGTAGCAAGGTGAGAAGTTAATCTATTGGTGGTTGGCACCAATGCTTTGTCGTAGAAAATGTTTAAAGTCCAAAGTAAACCAGGCTTCTAAAACCTGAATCCTTCTGTCTTGTCCCTCAGGCCCGTCCTGTCCTGATGCAGTTACCGTAGCAACATGACCCTCAACACTCAGAGAGAGAAGGAGCCCTTGCGGCGGCGATGCAGCACACCGATCCCTCCTGCCCACTTCTACCAGCACCCGTCCTGGACTCGGGACCTTCAGGATCCGGTGCACCCCGCCAGCACCCAGCCAGACCCCGAGCAGCCGCGTCCACAACGCAGCCACCCTCCTCTGGGACAGTCGGCGTCCTACCACCCTGGAGACAAGTCCCTCCACTACCGCGCCCAGTGGAGTTCAGACTCTGACGACGATTCGCAAAGCGACTCAGACTGTGTTTACAGAGTGGTGTTGTTAGGCGACCATGGCGTCGGAAAGACCAGTCTCGCAGGAATCTTTGCTGGGATCACAGAGAAAGACGAACAACCTGGAGGTGGGATTTATGTTGGGTGTCTGGTTAATTCATGTGGTCTTGTCTTTCCATTTTGTCTCAGTGTCCGAGGTTTCTGTGGGAAAGGATTTCTATTGGTTGACAGCAGGGCTGCCCCCGATAGTCAACCAAACGTGCATGCCCATCAGCCACTTAGCACAATCATTACTGCTTTGCCCACAGCGTCATTAACAGGCTCGCTCAGTGTGACGTGCACTTGTAGATAAAATATAGGCCTATATTAATGAAGGTTCATTAGTACAGTTTTGTATTTCTCTGTGATGTAGCACAGTGTTAACAATGTTACTGATACTATTCTTTCTCACACCTTCAACTCAAACCATTGTGTTGCACCGCCCAAAATATACAATGTAATAATTGAATTAATATCGTAAACATGCGGGCGACTAGTCGACTAATGGCCCTAAATGATGACTGTTGGTTGACTAGGAAAATGTCTAGTCAGGGGCAGCCCTAGATGACAGATCAAAATAAAAAGCGAACTTTTCTTCTGATAGTCTTACTGATGAATGTATTGAACAAACACATTACTGACTTTCTGCATGACAGTGAAACAGTGCCGATTTTCAACCAGCTCTGTGTCATCACAGTGTGTGCAGTTGAATGGTGTTTGGCTGACAGAGAGCTGTTTGAAAATCTGCCTCCCCCTGTGAACACTGCTGCACAGATTTTAACCTTTTTTTTTTTTAATCCAACAAATTAATGGAAGTGACCGACTGACTGAATCACTGCAGATCCCCATCGATGTTTTCCACCATGTTCTATTGTTGTGTTGTGGCTTTCAAACTCCAGTTCAGTCCTCAGTGCTCAGTTTCTGCGTTCTTGCTCTGACATCACAACCTTGACTGACCTGGCATCATCGATCAGCTCCTGTGTCACGTGTTGATTGGCTCCAGGCCATGATTGACAACCAGTATTGATCCAGTGGTAGTCTGACATGGTGTGTGGGGGCAGAGCCTGTCTGCTGTTAGCTTTCAGGTCGACTGAGCTCTGTGTCTGGGTTACTTTCTGCTTCACTTTCACATGTTTTGATTGTTGTTGTTGTAGCTCAGAGTCCTGATGCTGTTGTTTGCCTCAAGTTATTAACTGTGATGTCATTGTTGTTTACCAGGTTGTTGTTTGTCTCTTTTGATCACAGATATAATAGGCAGTTGTGATTTGTTGTTGGTGCTCCATGTTGTTTATTGTTTTTAGCTGTGCTAGTGGCATTGCTCCAGGGACAAAGATGTTGGTCGGTCAGTTCACGACTTTGGTCCAGAGTCACTGAAATATCTCAACAACCATTGGATAGATTGCCATGAAATACCATAACATTTGTAAATGCGACAACTCCATCAAGGATTAACATGTCTAATACTTTGGTTTATGACCAAACCGCAGTGTGCTTTGGTGCTAATTAGCAACTGTTAGCATTCTAACAAGTAAAACTGTATGATGAGCATTGTAAACATTACACCTGCTCAACATCACCTCGTCAGCATTTAGCTCAAAGCATCAATGTGTATAAGCACAGCCTCACAGCTGCGAGCATGGCTGCAGCTCCTCGGTCTTGTTGTTTATTGTTTGTGTTAATTGTTTGTTACAGAAGACACATATGAGCGGACACTGACAGTAGATGGAGAGGAGACCACACTCATCGTCATGGATACCTGGGAGAACGACAAACTGGTAAAGTGTGTGTGTGTGTGTGTGTTGATGAAGCACAGCTGTGAAGCATTAGGTGTCAGTTTTTAAGTAAAGGATTAAAGCTACATGGTGTCCTGCAAAGGGATCTTATGTGGCTGATGACTGATGTTCTTGCACTTTAATTTTACTTGAAATAATTCTGTTTAGATCATAAAATAAAAAGCCAAATAATTCCTTGTGCTAACAAAAGTATTATTTTGTGATCTCAGAAACATTAGTTTGTTATTTTGAGATCATAAAATGTCATTTACTGGGAAAGCTTTTGTTATTTACTTTTGGATAAACTTTATGCAAAGGTTCATTTTATAGAATACTCTCTAGAAAACCTGTTTTGTGACAATAAGTCAGAATTTGGGAGATACATGTTGTTTCTTTGCATAAAAATGAAATTGATTAAAAAAATGATTGAGTGTCAGGATCATTGTTAATGAGTTTGCGCGGTTGCTTACCTGTGTGATAAAGGCAGACTCCCTGTTGCTCCTCCTCCACTGCAGAGAGGCTTTTATTGTGGAACCAAAGCAGTTTACATTATAGTATAGTAATATAGTATCTAAACAGAAATATCATTGAGTCTCTGACAGAACAACAAATAAATGCAGATCGCAAAACAGTAACACTATAAGATAAAAATGAGAATATGAACATAGTAGAAGACATGTTGTTTTATTGTTAATGAGAATTAAAGGGCCAGTGAGCCTGTTTCATCAGACCATGGCACCTGAGGCAAAGAGTTGGAAATCACAAATCACTTTTCAAACTGACACAATATTATGTAGTTCAGTTTAAAGATTCATAGTGGTTGACTAATTTATTAGTGTTTGTTAGGATGTTGGATTGTTTGTGACGCTGTGATGTCACAGCATTCTTCTGACTGTTGAGCTCAGTCTGACATGAAAATCTGTTGTTGTTGAAGGAAAAAAAATGTCAATTCATGGTGTTGTACTGACGTAGTACGTTTATTTTCAAAGAGACTGTATGTAAATGTTAAATTTCCTAACTAACGCAGCCAGGGTGCATTGCAAACGTTGATATGTGACCAGGTCAGAGTGAGAATGTGTTCATGATATGATTGGCATTCAAGTGGTTCAAGTTATGAGAGCACTGCTGCTAGGCAACGGCAACATATACGCTACTGTCGGAGTCAGGAAGCCACCGAGACTAACGATTTAGCAAACAGTGGGTCACGTGATGCAGGAAATGCAAAGGCACGATGTCAGAGGAAAAAGATGAAGCTGTTGGGATTATCAACATTTTCCCCAGACACATCATAAAATTATGAAGAACAACTCCACACGACTGAAACTGAAATATATTAACTTAGCATTCACCAAAGAAATAACACCCATGGTCTGTACCATTTCTGAAAACATCAGCTAACATATCACAACTCATGAACTCAGAGCTTACATAAATTTTCTCACTACGAGGTTGTGATACCACAAGAGGCGTTCATATGGACTCATCTCATGAACACTGTAAACATGACCCCATTTGAACACAGCATTAATCGCTGCCATGGTTGGACCCAGAACACACACAAGAAACTACATGTCACAGCATTCTCCAGAGCAAACTTTCCAAGGAAGACCTTACAAACGTTGCTAGATCAAAGGATATTCAGGCTGTGCTGTTCATTGTGCTGCCGCCCGACTCTGATCAGAACTAGCAAAGTTAATCGTAGACTTTTAAAATATTAACTCATATGAAATATTGATTAAAATAGAAACATGTTTCTTGTGTCCATGTCTCTCTTCCTGTTAGGAGGGGGAGGACAACACCTCTCAAGACGACTGTCTAAAGGTTGGAAGTGCTTACGTCATTGTCTACTCTGTAACCGACCGCTCCAGCTTTGATGCTGCCGCTGAGCTCCGAATCACGCTGCGACGCATCCGCCAGGCCGAAAACCTGCCCATCATCCTTGTTGGCAACAAGAGTGACCTGGTCCGGTCCAGAGAAGTCGCTGTGGAAGGTAGGGGTCAAAGGTCACAGGGGTACATACATACACATATCGATAGGAACAAGTTAACTACAATTGTCTGATGTTGTTTTTATAATTACCCTCTTTCTGTATGTGTCTTTTCCCCAGAGGGCCGAGCTTGTGCGGTGGTGTTCGACTGTAAGTTCATCGAGACATCGGCGTCTCTGCAACATAATGTGACCGAGCTGTTTGAGGGTGTGATCCGACAGATCCGCCTCCGTCAGGACGGTAGTGAGGCCATTCAGCGCCGACGCTCCATATACAGACGTAAAGAGAGCCTCACCCAGAAGGCTCGCCGCTTCCTGGACCGACTGGTGGCACGCAACAACCAGCGCATGGCGGTCAAAGTGCGGTCCAAGAGCTGCCACGACCTGGCCGTCCTCTGAAGAGACATGTCCTCCAGGAGTGGCAGGTTGGATCTTCTTTGACTTGTTGAAGTTCTCTCTGGGTGTGATAGCGTGGATGGTGGCGTCTGCGGTGATTGTCACACGAATCGACAATAAAAATGATCAGTGGCAAAAGGAGTCAGCTGACTGTAACGTGCGTCGCTGTGATCACAGTGAACAACTTGTTTTCCTGTTTGACCGTTTGGTCCCAACGTTTTTGTGACTTTTCCTACAGATGACGGAAAAAACTGACTGTGACGGATCGTAACTGTTGGGCTGATGGATGAGTGTTCAGTGTGTGTGTGTGTGTGTGTGTGCGTGTGTGTGTGTCAACAGGTGTCTGTTCAGGATGTTCTGTATTTTCCACTGTGTCCACTGTGCTGTTCTCCTGAGGTTTCTATTGTTTTCAGTTCAACACTGTGCAGAATAAAGTCTAAAATGAACAGTCCTTTCAAGATCGTGTTTTACAGATGTCCAGTAGCCTAATGTGTTCACACCAAATGAGATGCGAATTTTCGCGTCATGTTATTCGTACAAGTTTGACCGCTAGAATGTTTTCTGTTGTCATATATGTGAAATCTCTGACTGGAAGAATGAACTTCTTGTTTTTTTTAATACTTTTTATTGCCATCGTATAATTTCATGTATCTTACTCATGACGAAGCTCGTGTACTGATGACATTTCTTTCTTTCCTTTATTTTGAAGTGAGATATTATGTTAATAGCTGTGTCACCCAGTGATACATGCTTTTTTCGTCGGTGTCCTATGCCGCAAGTCACTGCCCAAGCACTGGATTTCAAAGACTTCGGAGTGAGACCTAGTCTCGCATGACCAGCCTCCCTTACTTCGGAATGGGAGTCTGGGGACATTCGTCTTTCGTTAATAGAAATGGATGGGGATATCCAGACCACGTGACGGCATTGCCATGGGTATGGCACGCTGTAAATCCTTAATTTCTCCAATCTTGTGGACATTGCAGCTCTGCAATATAGCTGAATCAAATGAAATCATATCCATTTTAATCTCTTCTTGCGATGCCCTGAACACTTTCTTTTCTGTTGTACTATAGACAACTATTCGGGGAACAGCAATTCCGGTGTAGGCGGGTGTAAGGCAAAGCTAATCAGCTGTTGGTCGAGGAAGTACAGAAGTCATCATCGGTGTCTGTGTAAGAGACTAAGTGAGACCTGGTTGTGTTTTTTTTTTTTAGATTGTTCCAAAACCGAAAAAAAAATAGGAGCACATTGTTAGGAACGGATTTAACATTGTATTTATCTGCTTTAACGAAGCTGCTAACGTCAACATGTCAGGCTAACAAGCTCACTGCCTACAGTAGTGACCTGACAATACTTCCAAACTAGGAGTTAGCTTTTCTTCAGCGTTTAAAGGTTAAGTTATGAAAAGCAGGGCTTTGTGAGCGGTAAATTGTTCTTTATTTTATTCATTTTAGATCATTTTATGATTTGAGCCATTATCTTCATTTGATTTTATGTTTTTATTAGATTTAGATTATTTGGTTCTTTTTTATAATTTTTGCTTTAATGTAAAATTACTAATCAAATCTTCTCATGTGTGTCTTGTTTTCAGTCATGATCTCTTCCCTTGCAGGAGAGGAGATTATAACTAAACACACTCTTCTCAGGTCGCCACATGAAACCCCCTGGGCCTCCTGGATGTTTACCGTTGCCATGGGGACGTGAGGTCCGTTAGCCACAGTTGAAGAAGAGGCGGTTTTTACTGAGTGGTCATCATAACATCAGGGTTGCATCCTGACTCCTGTGTGGGGTTGACAAAACACAGACGGTGTGTTCGGCTGATGGATGGGACAGTGACTCATAACACGACAGGCTGCATACAAACACTGTCTCTTTGTAACCGTGCTAATGGCCCAAACATAAAACATGCTTTTGGTGGAAGTTGGATTTAAACAAGACTTAAGACTTCACAGTAAAGCTAGAGAAATATTTACCATGTTCACCCACCGTCTTAGTAGCGTGTTTACATGCTAATGTTTCAAAACGCAAAGTACAGTTCAGGCTGTCTTTAGTTTTGCAGATAAAACCAAGTATCAGATAAATTAAAGCTGAGGTAGGTAGTTTCGTTTTAGTGTCACTGAGCAAAAAATCCTGTACAAAAACTTTGAGCATATAATTTAAGTGGTCTGCAGGGGCAGCTGTGGCTCTGGCTGTAGAACAGGTCGTCCACTAGTTGGAAGATCAGTAGTTCAAACTCCTGCTCCTCTAGTCTGCATGTTGAAGTGTCGTTGAGCAAGATAGGCTGTTCCATTGGTGTGTAAGTGTGTTAAAAATAGCAGGTGGCACCTAGCCTCGGCCACCAGTGTATGAATATGTGTGTGTGAATGGATGAATGGGACACGGAGTGTAAAAAGTGCTTTGAGTGGTCGAAAGACTAGAAAGGCGCTACAAGTGCAGGTCCATTTGCTATTTACCAAATAGGCTTCTGCACCTCCTCTTGGCTCCATTTTCAGGCTTTAGAAAATCTAGGTTGTGATGAGAGACTTTAGCCGATCACAGGTCATTTCAAAGAGAGGGCGTTCCTATTGGCTGTTCCACAAGCCTGATTCAATAGCAGAGAATCCTGCAGAGACAGTTGCTGTTCCAGCATAGGTAGGTTCATGTAGCCACAGCTCTTTGTCAGTGTGACAGAAAGGTCTGGATGCACCTATTATCATTCTGGTGTAGTGGAAAATGACACTCTGGGTTGTTTGTATTTCTCTAAACCAATCACAATGGTCTTAGGCAGCGCTAAGCCCAGGAAGCAGCGACGGTGCTCTTGGAAAATGACACGCGTGGAGGGGGATGGAGCAGAAATACCTGGCCATGGTAGGTATATATCCACAGTCTACATCCTCTGAGTCAGACTGTGGTATTGGCAACAACTGCCAACACTGTCCAGATGAGTTTGACGATAAAGAAAACAAAACAAAACATGTCAATATCGACGAAGCATTTCAGAGAATGAGAGAGCGTCTTTTCACTGGAGTGAAAGGCTCATGGCTGCGGCTTCAAGTTAACATTTTTGTAGCTAACATTAGCGAGATTCTTGAATCACAGTGTGCCATCTGCCTCGCTCCCCGCCACTGTGGACTGCTTCACCAGTAGGAGAGAAGGCAGCGGCCCCAGAGACAGACCCCCAGTCAGCGGCCGCAGCACTGGCCAAATTTGAGCTGCTACATCTCCTGACTACAGGTCTGTCTCCGGGCTGCTGCCAGCTCTCCTACCAGCAAAGCAGTGTACAGCGGCGGGGAGCGAGGCTAATGTTAGCTAGCTAAGTCTTGTTTCATTTGTGGTCTGATAAACAGAGAGCGGGACAAGGAGAGGCTGTGTGAATGCGCTGCAGGCAACTGTGCAATGAAATCAGATTAAATAAATCAATGTATTGGAAACACTGTGTTACTGTATGCAGCATGTGCATATGCCCGTGGTCTTGTGGTGGGAGGGGCTTAGGACAGAAGGCGAGAGCTGTAGGAGGAGGATTTTTTTTTTTTTTTTTAAATTCTGCTGCTTTCCCATTTTCAGTCATTTTCATCTGTTTTAAAGTTCATGACAATATTTCACATGTGAACCTGCTGGTGGCTCTAGAGGACACCAAGGTCATGTTTTTTCTTTGTAAGAAGTGAAGAGAAATGAATCTGAGCTGCTGTGAAATGACGACAAACTGGTTTAAATCTGCAGCAGTTTATCTGGAAAACACATCAGGCAGACTGGTTGTCCCAGTTTTTACTGATCAAATATCCTATCTGCTTATTGATCGGGCTTTTTGGTCTCTCTCTCTCTCTCTCTCTCTCTCTCTCTCTCTCTCTCTCACACTCACACACACACACACACACACACACACACACACATACACACACACAGACACTCTGTGTGGTTCTACAGGGACAGTATGGAGGGGGAGTGTTTAACATTGATTTGATGAGGGTAATGGAAAAAATGCATGACTCTGCTCAACCCGGATGACACTCACACACACACACACACACACACACACACACACACACACAGTGATGTGTAAACATCCTCTCAGTGGAGGAGGAACAGAGACTCGAGCTGTGAGTTCAGCTCCCTCCTGAATCTGTTCAGAATGGAAACATCAGAAAATCCTCCTCAGTGTTTTTGTTCCGAGGTGTAAAAGTTGTGCAGAAGATTTGACGACACAGATTTTTATAACAATTGATGACATTGTTGGACTCTTGCTCTTCTTCTGTTGTTTTATTTCCAGCAGTGGAGATGAAACGCCAGCACCTGGCTGTTGTGCTGATTTTGTTTGAAATCAGCTCCAGTTAGCTCGAGGCTAATAGCGACTTAGCGTGGACGTGTTGAGCCAAACAAATTCACATCATGCAGACCACCCCAGCAGTGTTGACATAGTAAATATAATTTGACTTTGACTGTAATGTTCAAAGTGAAAAGCTGGCTGCAAAACAGATAAATAAATAAAAACATTATCACCAAATTTGGTGATTAGCTATTTTAATGCTGATTACTCATAGTGTTCAATCTTTTAGTTACTGTATTTAAAGTACTTTAGAGATGTGGGTAAAGCAAGAGCACAGGGACAGCTTCTTTAGAGTGAAACCTTTTAATGTCTGTCTCATAGGCTGAATGCCAACAACAGACATGATACATTACCTTATCATCATCATCATCATCATCATCATCATCATCATCATCATCATCATCATCACTTCACCAACCTGAAAAATTGTGTGACCTAATATCTGCAGACATATTCCATTTGACACGCCCCTACAATCCTCGCCCACCACTAACCCACAGATGCAGCAGTTATTTGAACCCCGCTACAAGTCGTAGTTAAAAAACATGAGGCCAAACATAGCAATAATCCACTTTATAATTAATTCTACATGAAAACATTATTCACCTTATAAGTAACAAGATGTAACCCTTTTCCTTATCTTAACTGACATTTACATAAATTATGTAAATTCTAATAAACCTGAGAGGGTTTTCTACAAAATGAATCTGATTTAACAAAAAATTAAAATAATCTACATTAACAGTGTTCATTTTACTTATCTAGTTACACTTGTAAATGAATTGCTTCAAATCTGTACCACAATAAAAGTAGTTAATTTGGGCTTATTTCCCGTAAGACTAGCAGTGCAGTAACTATTTAAACGTCTTATCTCAGGGCTAACAGGCAGGGTTGGATCAGATTGCTTTGAAATGTGTACTGAATACAAATTACATGGTGAATTTTGTGATTAGACACATATTCCACTGGATTATAAAAAATATATAATTTAATCTGAATAATTTGGAATAACACATTAAAAATATTGCACCTGATACAAAACAATGGACGCAGCCTCAAGAATTTTATGTCCATAAAAATTTCCAATTGAAATAAAATGCATTTTGAATATTCAGCTTTTAGTCGGTCAAGTCAAATCACCCTGACAA